AAATAATTAAATTTTGACAAAAATATCATTTTTAAATATATCTTAACCCTTTACACATATCCTCAAACCTTTAATTACCCTTAACCAATATCTCTCTAATCTCTAATACTACTATCCACTTCAGATACTTAAGATTCCTTCAGTTGCGCTATTATCAAAAAGATTATATATTATAACCTCCTGATTTAAAAAATAAATTACTTTTAAAATTTGAAAGGAAGATGGAAATATGGCATTCATATATTTTTTTCAGGACACCAGCTGAGTCTATATTTTATTGAAGTTACGATTCTCACGACCTGGAAAAACTCTGGTACACATTTGTTCCTGAACTTTCCCACCCTCCCTTATTTTTCTTTCAAAAATGCTTATTAAATTTAACAAAAAAATTTTTTTTTAAAGTTTCTTTCCTGAAATTGATCGCAAGTGGAAGTAAAATTCAAATTAGAGTTGGCAACCGCCAGATTTTACTCTTATTTGTGAGTAAATGCCGCGCTTAGATAATATACGTATTTTTCAATGATGCTGTTATTTTATAAAACATGAAGTTATTTAAAAGGCCGAAATTTTGAAAATTTTTATCATCAAAATGTAAAATATATACGTTTTTTCTGATGATGTTATCATAAATTTGGAATTATTACATATAAACATCCATAATCTCTATCGGTTAGTTAAGTGTTACATATAATATAATGCAAGGTAAACACTCTCATTATACATATTGAACAAAATATATCATATTCTTTCCCAACAATGACAGAATGAAAAAGTATGTTTTGTGTGCGATTAATTCATCTACCTAGGGCATATTAGTAGGGGGAGGATAATTTTTTTTTGAAACATTAAAAATTTATTAGAATCAATCATCATCACACAAAATTTATTTAAACGAATCAATAGAAAAAATTTAGAAACACAAATATTAAAATATTGGAAAATACAAAATTTCGATAAGAGCGTAAATTATGAAATTTGTAAAAAAATATTATAATGAATCACAATATAATATGATAGAAGTCCTCTGAATAAAATTGGGCCAAATATTTGATTTGTTTGAATATGAAGAGTCAATATAACCTTAGACGGATTGAAGGTAATAATATTTGTAAATTGAATAGAATATGATAAAACACAAGTCGTTCAGTGATTTTGGTAAAGAATAAAATGACGGTTATTTTGTAATAATCTTTAATAGAAACGCTATATTTGAATGAATATGCTTGCTCTTGTGTAAGTTGAGTCTATCGCTAAATCATATTTGATTTTGCGTTAACAGACTTATAGATCTCTTGAAATAATTGGTCAATATTATCTCTTACTCTTCTAAACTGTACTGCAATAATATCAACGATTCTCATTGTTGACAAAATTTATTTGAATAATATTTCATAAGATGGTTGTAAAATTAAATGATTTATCAATACATTCCAGTGGAAAAAAAAATCGATTGTCCTGAATCCAATATTGTATATTAAGATACGATGAAATAACTGGTTTTGGCTATTCTGACATTTCTTTAATGGTACTTAAAATGGAATATAACTCTTTTGAAATAAGGATACCTTTTTGTAATTCATAAAAAACCTTTTAATATTTTTTCAAAAATATTTTGGGAACATTTACCTCTCTTATCGCACCCGCTGGCTCTGCGCGCGCATCTTTTCCTTCATAATAACAAAGATCTACACTAGAGATCTGCAAAGTTAGGCCCGAACGGGTTTCGGGCCGGGCCTAATTCTATTTAAAATAATCGGGTTCGGACCGGGCCTAATATTTTAAAAAAATTTGTTCCAGGTCGGGTCGGATTTTGGAATTTTTTTTTAAATATAACTAAATTTATCAATATTATATTAAATTTTTTATGTAAAATAAAAATATTTGATTTTATTTATTGAAACGAAACGACATATAACATATGCCTTTTATTTTGAGTAATTATAAAAATTAATTTCTATATTTAAAATAATTTCGGGCCGGAGTTGAATAGGCCCGATGCAGATCACTACTTTACACTGCTTACAAAAAGTTTCAAAGAAATACGTGAACTAATTCAAATGGTATGAAAATTACGGAGTTTCTTACGTGGATTCTAATATTAATTATATAAAATAAATTGAGCAAATTAAAAAGTTGATAATTTGCCTAACAAAAAAAACATTATCCGATACCACCATATTATCAACTAGAGGGTTTGCAATGGGCGGGGTTTTAACTCGCCCTCATTTCGGGCAAATATTTTCATCACTGGGCGGGTGGCTAGCGGGTTAAAATTATTTTTTTTAAGTAATGGGTGGGCATAGGCGAGTAAATTTTCAATATTTTTTAGGCTAAATGAGCAGAACAGACCTAAATTTATCAAAAATAATAGTTTTATTTCATAATATTATATATTATATCGATTCGAAAACTTTTGAAACTACTTTATCGAAAAAGAAGTAAGCTTTTTTTTAAAAAAAAAATATATAAACATATCCAAAATATAATTTTTTTCATGATTTAATTAAAATTTTAAAACTTTTGAATCATTTTAAATGATTTTGGACATAGCCTAAAGTAGTGTTGTTAAACGGTTAGTTTTGAGCCGATTTTTAAAAATGCCTCGAGATTTTGCTAAATGGCCATACCTTTATTCCTTCTACAAGCAAAATCTTTAGGCTTGAGTAATATTATTCTGGATGAAATATTGAGTTGGCCGTTTTTAAAAATAGGCTCAAAACGAGCCGTTTAACAACACTAGCATAAAGTATATACAAGGCAAGCAATAAAAATTGCCCGAATTTATTCGCAAAAGTTAAAAATATCCAAACTCGTAGAGTATAGAAAATGTCAAAGAATTTTCACTGGATTTTTTAAATATGCTTGATAAGGCGAAGCCTAAAATGATCGTCTAAAACTGAACTGAAATAGAAAGACCGTTATTTATGATTAGACCTGGAATCAAAAAAAATCCAGGATAAATATTTTGACTTTGGAAAACGGCCACCTGGTACGTTGAAAAATAGGAGCCGAAACACTAAGTCCAAATGGTAATCTACAGAACGCGAACAATCCCTTAGGCGTGGTAATAGTTAATAATTTCTTAACCTCCGGTCTTACACGTAATTGTAGATAAGCATTAGAAAAATGGACCTTTTAAGACCTTCGTTTTAACTATTTTTGGATACCTTTTAATTGAAAAAATGGATTTTGCTTTGTTCTTTTTAAAAAGTCTATTTTTCATTTGTTTTTACTTTTTAAAGTGAACTTTTGTCTTATTATTTTTTTCATGAGTCTAGATAAGAAATTATTCGCATGTGATAGATTTTAATAAATTTTTAGGTATATTTTCGTATTTATCACCCCAAATTCGCGTAAACAGTGAATGAGAGGTTAGCCTAAATTCAGTTAGTACAAATTCGAGGCGAATTATTCAAAATATGCTGTATTTTAATATATTTCGCATCGAATCCGCTCTAACTGCAAATGCAGGGTTTACGAATTAATTTTTCAAGCTGATTATTTTTTTTTAAAAAAGGTTTTTCCACGAGGATTTGTTTTTTTTATCATATGGCCACAAATTTTATAGAATTTTCGTCATTTTTATTGGTTATCTAGATAAAATATAACAAATTTAAGAACAGGGGATTCAATAGAAAGAGGTAATTGGAATTTCTTTCCTTTTTTTCGTAATACAAGATATTTTTTGTATGAAGGTTTTTAAATACATGATTTTTGAAGAAAAAATAGAATACACCAACAAACACTTACGGACAAACAGCACACAACAATTTTTTTTTTTTTAAATAGGAAGGAGAAGAAACAAGAAAAAGAGATATGTTAAGACCAAAGGATATACAGAGCGTGATAATCGTTAGAACAAAAGGAACAAATGAATAGGAGACGTTAGAATATATTAAGACAAAAGGATTGATAAGAGGTATGGATAGAATAAAAACAAAAAGAATCTATAAAGTGTACAGGATGATGATAAAATTAAGCATGGACATAAAGAACCTAAAGGAAATAGATATAACAAAAATCAAACGAAGAACTAGAGAAGATGAGTGAAAAATAAAGTATGAGAACGTTGAAGGGCAGAGACAAGAATTAAGGAATAATTAAAAATAAGACATTATTATATTATAGCCTATATGAATTCAATTTTTTATATAAAAAAAATACTAAACATCTAAGAGTAAAATATTTAGCGTATAAAATTTATTAACGGTCCAACCGAAAAGACCAATCGCAAGGACAGGATCGAAGACCCCTTTGGAAAAATCGACAAGGTCCTGATCTCTACAGCTGACCCTAGTAGAAATCGAAAATTAAAAATATTGGAACCAAATTCCATCTACAAGAAACGACTCCTTTGTTATTTAGCAATGAGTTTAAAATCTCAAATGATATTCCCGCAATATACTAATAATTAATGATCTAAGAGACTTTACAAAATATAAAAAATAGCGAATTTTTTTAATTCTCAAAATGGAAGGATGTGTCCTGGTTACTTAATCGGTTTAAGCCTAGACTAAACAGCTGTTGAAATAGGACTTTTAGGCTTTTTAATCAAGACAAAATAGCCAGCCGGGCGTAGTCGAATCAAAAAACTTACAATCATAAATTTCGAAAAAAAAGGTTTTAAATATTTATTAAACGTAAATAGTGTTCAATAATCGCGTGAGATTTAAAATAATTACTCATTTTTTAAAAACATTTTAAAGTCTCCCAGTAGTATAATAAGTAAGAGGCTAAGCTAAGCTAAGTATACCGTGTTTATGGGATTCGATTTTCAGTGGGACCCGTTTTTTTCTTACTTATTTAAGCTATATTTATGTGCGGTTAGCCAGGGCATGTTTTGGGGTAAAGTGGGACAGTTAAAAAATGGTTTAATAAAACGATATTTATCATCACTCAGTTTGAATCATATTAGTAATACGTGAATATAGATAGAAAATCTCGTGAGTCATTACATTTATGCAATATGTACAAATGCCAATTTTGACAAATAATATTAAGTCATAAAAAATAATGCTTAGAATATTCATCGGAATCTTGCGTTACAATTTTAATGTATATATGTCAGACGACATTAATTTTAAAAAAAAAATTCTAATATGAATAACAGATGGAAAAACAAATTCACTGCATTAAAATATATTATGAGGATTGATGTTATTTTTCTCTGTCATCCGGAAGTGTTAAAATCGTATGAATTAGATTTGTGCTTGGGTAAAAAGGCAAAATTTTCCGGAGTAGGCCCCAGTAACATTCGACTTATTTCGATCCAATCCTTGCTATCAGGGCTGCTCATGAGCCTTTCCAAATCATTCCGCCCATACATAGCCGACCTGAGGGGAGGTCTTTGATTTATGAGAACGCAATCTTTCATTATTCTGTAATCACTCGTAGAAACAATTACATCCTCGTCGGGTGGCTTGGTATTCTTTTGAATTAATTCTTGAGAGGATTGATATGAGGAATGTTTAAAAGTTTCTATGATACCCAGTGGTACGTATCTGTGAGTGAAGGAGAGCCATTCCAGAAGGAAACGTCGAGTAGTTTCTACCCCCTTTTATATGTAATTATAATAATATACTGCTTTATATACATCAAACATGAAGGCCCGGCCCGGCCCTAAGGCTTTTAATTTTTTTTTAAATATACCCGGGCCGGGGCTAAAAAATTATTTAAAAAAATATCCTAAACGTGCCGAATATTTCAAAATCAAATATTTTAAATCGCCATTATTAACTAAAAAAAATATATTAAAAAAAAAAATTCTGGCCAGGCCTGAAAATATAAAACCATGGCATGGTACCACTGCAGGTCTCTGATATACACCTCACCTTCTCCCAAATTTATACATTTTTCTCACTCAAACTACGCGAAAAATAAAACTTAGTATATATATGTCGTAATTTTTAAAGGGATCATGACTATCCGGGATCTTCACGGGATTTAAAGGGATCCCTCTAAAATTTCAATTTTTTAAAGGATAAAGAACTATACGGTATTATCACTGGGGCAGAGATTGACCTCCAGTTGAATAAATCTTTTGATTAGCTATCGAATGATACCCTATACTAGACATATCTTATATCATAAGGCCAAAAAAAACAAAATTGAAAATTAAAAACGCAACGAAACTCGTGGAAAACGCTTTTAAAATAAGATTCCTCTTTATCACGATTAAAACGTGATAATCCCGTATTATCATTCTTTAATTATCAACCCTAATTTTTTTTAGTTATCCCTTTAAATCCCGTGAAGATCCCGGATAGTCATGATCCCTTTAAAAATTACGACATTAATATATTCACATTGGAATGATCGTGTATATTCGATAAAAATTGCTTAGGTTTTAACCAAAATAAGAGATAATTAACATATTTAATAACTAATTCAAAGGTAAATTTTTCTCCCTAATAATTCGTCTTGTTTTAAAAGGGTCTCTTTAATCGGGTTCGCTATGCACACAAAATTCAAAGTAATAACTAGTATAAAACTTAGATTTGAATATTTCGTTTAAGGATTAATAAATAGTTTTTTAAAAATCACGGCGCAAAAAAAAAATAAAAAAGAGATTAATTTATCAAAAAGGAGAGCGAAGCAGCCTAATGGAAGAGTGGATGCTCAGGAAATTGAAATAACAAATCTTCAAGGATGGATTCTGAGTTGAACGTAATGCCTCTTTATCCTTATTTTTCTCAGAGCGATTTGATTAAACGCCTAAGGATTTCCAAGTTTTTAGCGATGGGGACAAAGATTATTTTGATAAGGTCATGGTTTTTATATTTTTTAATTATCTGGAATGAAAGTAAAGTCAGGTGTGAATTATTGGGCTTGACAAAGTTGATATAATTTAGGTGTAGCAGCAAGCGATGAGAGTGCCGTTGGGCGAAGGTGGTAGGGTGAACAGACAAGTCTTTTGGAGCTATCACTAAAAATAAAAAAGCCCACACCTTCGAGAGTAGAAGGTATGTTATCCTTAGGCTCGTAGTAATGCTATTTATTACTTTGCGGTGAGTTTGATGTCTACAGGGATATATGCAATAAGGATAATATCTATGTTATTTATAGTTTGGCCCCAGTGGACACAAATGGGAAAAATAATTCATTTGCAGCCAAGGGGCAGGTCAATAGAGGATCCGAGTTGTTCAGCCGAGATTTTCCAGCTTTAATGATCTAAACTTTGTTAACATATAGTATATGTCTATAGAGTCGAAAAATCGTGCTAATCATTATTTCATTTAAATTAACTTTTTTTCTTAAAATAGTCATACATTTTAAATATAATTTTGTCGCCCGTAAAAATTCTATTTGAGAAATTATTTTCTTAAAAAATTTAAAATATTTCTAGCGTCTTCTCATTTCCGTAAAAATTTGAGAAGATAATTTTTAATTAGGCTCTGAAACACGATAGAAATGAAATAATTTTTTTTCAGCTATTTAATTTTTAAATTAAATATATAATAATGACTGTAATGCAATTTTTTGGTACATTATTATTGTATGAACAATCTATCCCTGCTCGATATAATCATATGCCAATCAGCTATAGAACAGTTATATTTATGGACTTTATTAAATTTTCTATTATTTTGCTTTCCCTAATACTTAAAATCTTCGTTATTTGTTTATTTTATAACTTTATACTGTATATAAAAGGCAATATTTTCATAAATTATATAATTTTGTTTCTGGATAAGATTTTTTAAAAATTATAGTGAATATAAAGGTATATCATTCTTAGCAAGTTACAGCACCTAAAAAAAACTTCATTTCTTCAAATTTTCATCGGAAATTAGAAAATACTGAGAATATAATTGTTTTTTACACCATTTCTTAAGTAGAATTTCAATGGCTAGAAAATGATGTAAAATTTGTGGCGCTAGCAAAAATATCTTTGAAAAAAAATGAGATTTTATGAAATCATGATTTGTGCGATTCTCGACTATAGATATCGTTTGATCTGACTAAGCTATCACTCCAAAATTTAAATGTTAATAAAATTTATATCTTAAATGGCCATTCATGCCTTTATTCATTATAAAGATGGTGATCCAAAACACTTGATTCGATTTCACATCACCCCATTGGCATTCGAGCTAACACGGTTACTCATTCTAGTTGTGTCGACTGTGGCAAACCCATAGATAACAAAGGCAACTATCCCCCTTACATTACAAATCTTCCGTGTGGAAGGCAACCCCATCACAAAACTATAAACAATATCAACCCACAGGCGGTCTTACCTTCTATTTAACTCGTAGAGTAACTCTAAAATATCAGCATGAGCATCCACTCCTCCCTCTTCTTTTTAACTATATTACTCTTCGTTAGCTTTAATCTATTCTTCGATGAGCCTACACTAAGTTGTTTTAATGGACGACAGTTTCACCAGTTTCATCAAAATTAGATTAGAAGCTAATGGTGTTCCCAGTAGGATGCAAATTTTCATTTATTATTTTTAAGCCCAGCTCGAAATATTTTATTTTAGGCCAGAGGGTCTGCCCAGGAATTTTAAAATTTGAATATTTTTTAAAAAAAATTTAAACGTATTCCCAATTCCCAGAGAAATTTTGATTATTATTTTATTTCAATAAAAAAAAAGGAGAAAGGAAAGTAAAGTAAAAAAAAGAATAGAAAATCATTTTCTTCTTTTTCTTTCAGATTTTAACGAGCCCAGCTCATTTTTTTGGCTAGATCAGAATTTTTTCAAATATTTATGTTAGAAAACGGAAATGAATTTTAGAATGTCCTTTTTTTTAAAAAAAAATTTTTCCATTTTCCATTTTGTTTTTATTTTATATTATTATAAAAATATTTCGGGTGGACTGGTAAGGAATTCCAAATCATTGGGCCTCGTTCATAGTAACGAAATACCGCGATGGCGATTAAACGGCGCGTAATTCATCGCTAAACGATAAAATAGTACCTTAGTGACATAGTTCGCTCTTACTATAAAACGAGGCCTCACTCGCGTGCACATTAATAATCAATAATTTTTCGAACGTAGGTATCGGAACCCCAGTGTTGAAGACCAAATTTGACGAAATCTTTGAAAATGTCGAATCTTTCATTTGCGGAGATATCCCATTCCCTTTGCTCCTTGATTTCTGTAAAAATCCAAGGCTTTATGAGAGCACCCCTTCCTATCATAATTCCTGCTACTCCTGAAGATATATATATTAGAAAAATACATTTAATCCCGGTATAGGCTAAACATCCCACATTTAGTAAGGCTTATTTACAAAAAAAAAATCAGTTCCCCACTCTTTCTTTATAAACCTCTCATGGTCGGCCAGATATAAAAGTCTAAATAAATTTTAAATCAATCCTCCAAAATATAGAATAATGGGAAAACTAATTTTAGAATCGTTACTAAAAAGATTTTCCGAAAGAATGAGGCTAGTGATAACACCCGCCAAACCATCTGCCAATGACTCATTTATTTTCTAATCGGAATCACGTGGTCGAGTTAACTTATGAAAATTATGAAAAAACAGTGCGCTTGGCGTGCGTTATTATTAGCCAAAGAATGTGAGGTCAAGAAAAAAAATGAAAACCTGTGTGATCTAATCGTTCACGATATTCCTGGTAGGAATAAACGTCTCCACAACCGAAAATGGGCATTGCAGAATGACTCTCCTCTACGCATTGTTCGATGTAATTCCAATCGGCTCTTTTCGTGTATCTTTGATTCTTGCTTCTGCCGTGAATAGCTATCATCGATACGTCACTAGGAGTTTGACTTCAACATATGGAATATATTTATGATACAAATCAATCATCTTAAACTCTACCAGATATTTTAAAAATTTCTAAAAAAAAACGGAATATCTGAAAACATGGTAAATAATAAAAGTTAAGGCGTGTCAACGCTCGTATTATTTCTAAACAGTCACGTGTGTTAATTGGTCTATATAGCTTCCTCTAAACAAAATGCCAAAATAAAAAGGCGATTCAGATTCAAGGAACCCGGATCTATTCACACCAGAAATAGGGAGTCGTAAACTGAGTTGCGCCTAGGCTAAACAGAAATAAAATTTCAAAAATAATCAGAGCCTTAACAAGATCTCATAATAAAAAAAGAATTATAAAATCCCCGGGAAATGTTAAAATCGAAATGCGAGAATGAGGTCTCTAAACCCGCGTCCGCCTATTATAAAGCTGATATAAAATAAACATTTGGCGCATATTTTTTCAGGCAATGAATATTTTCAGATTTAAAAGTAAAAAATATATTCAACCAATCAAAAAATTTTTTTAAAAATTGAGCGGGCGGGTTGGGTTAATCAAATTTTTTTTAAATAAATTGGCGGGCGAAGTAAAAATTTTTTTAAAAAAAACTATAAGTAGACCGGTTATAATTTTTTTTAAACCATGGGTGGCTGGGCGTTCGGAAGAAAAACCCGTCCAGACATCTAAGGCAAATCCCCCCAGCAAACCTAAAATGGTTCTCTAATATTATTATTAAAATCACCAGATCTAAACGTGGTTAACCATCAGCTAGAATTTTTAAATGAAGAAATCTCTCAAACTTAAAATATTTATTTGTTATGCAATAAATTTAAATATTTTGCAATAACTTTGATAATTTTGGTTTATTCTATTTTTATTACAAAATAAAATTAAGATATGAAAATAAATGTTTTCTTTTAAAAAATTCCTATTTTTTATAAATTTATTTTATAATTGTTATCAGAGTGGGCGAAATTTTCAGGCCCGGGTAAAGTTTGGTTGATGCCCAGCCCAGTTTCAATTCTTACTAGTTGCCTAACCCAGTTTTAAAATTTTTTTTAAATACAAAACCAAAACAACTATTTCTAATCTTGGCAGTTGTTAAATTAAAAACACTACTATACTTTATGGACATCAAATATGTATACAAAAAAAATGTTGTCCATCCTGACCCAAAAATTTCCAGATTTTACCCAGCCTGGCCTGCGGGGTAACGAGTCGCGAATTGCAGACCTCTGCGTGCGATTTTCAAACAGGTAAAAAAGAAGAAGGAAGAATAGGATAGAAATATAACATTTAATATTTTATGAACTATAGGCCTGGAAGCCTATTTTGTCCGACATGTACTAAACTTATGGTCTTGCCCTTGCAGGACGCTATTTCCAATAAATTACTAAACAAATTTAATGCTCCATCTAAGATGAATTTATATATTTAAAAAAATAATAATACATGCTTATATAATATATAATTTTAATTATAAGCATAATTTTTTTTTTCATTAATTTTTCTTCATCTTCATAAAAACATGATTTCAATTTTTAAATTTTAATAAATTTGCCAATCAAAATTTGTATTAATATGATTGCAAAAATTATTCATAACGTAAACCATAAAGTTAATATCATAACAATCCTTTACCTCGCCAATTTTCCTATGAGCCCATGGGCCAACGGATGTTGATCCTTGAGGCCACTTCTCACTTTGAGAGTCAGTGCAACAGGTGGGGGTAAAATGGTCCTAATGGCGGAACTAACTTGTAGAGTTCGGTCAGGCCTAGAAAGCATGGATGCCCCAGCTCCCTTTTTACATATTTCGTCTAGCGGACATCCCATATTTATGTCTAAGAAATCAATAGAAAATGGGGACAAAGTATTCCCAGTGGAATCGTTTGAATATAAGGAAGCACTGTTCAATGTCAGGTCAGAGATTAATTGGGCCACTTTGGACATCGAGTCAACATGGCAACCGCATACCTTGTAAAAATTAGTTAACGCAATTTTATTAATTGGGAAAACATGAAAAGATAACTTTTAAACAAAATGGTCATTAATAAAAATATATAATTAATTTGGTGTTTTCTTGAGGAAAAAAATACAAAAGAGGAGATTAATTAGTTTAGACAAATTATAGGTCTAAAGTGGGGTTTACCCGCCCACCCACGATAGATTTTTATCACCCCCCCCCCCCAATAACGTGGGTGAGTAGGCAGCAGAGTTGTTAAAGTTATCTAGCACGCTCCATTTTAGAAAAGTAACGAAAATTAAAATATTATTTTATAATTAATACTAATTTATAATTTTATTATTTATATTTTCAAAATTTGATTTTATAATTATAAAATAAACTCAACCCATTCCTGGTTGTAAATTATTTAAAATGGATATTGAAATATAATCGAAGTGAGTCAGACAATGAAAATATCAACGAAATGTAAGGCAAACTGGAAGAATTTACGATAACATTAATACCAATTTTATTTCTCCAAAATTTAAAAAATAATTTTTAAAAATTAACGGGAAAACATAGGAAATTTATCTGTTTAAAAAATGTAAGAAAAATATATCCTCAAATTAGGCAGGTATAATATTAACTACTAGCAACACCTAAAATGAAATTCTGTTTATAATGGAATCAAATTAGTGGCATTTTTTCTGAACGAAAGATGATTGGAAATTGATTTTCTATCTGAGATCAAGTTGGAATTCAATGTTTAAAGGGTGGTTATGCAATATGTGGCTCTTTCTCTTGAAATTTCGGAAGGCGAGGACAATATGGAGATTGGGTAGTAGGTTCCCACTGTGAATATCCTATCTACAAAATTAAATCTCAACCAAGGTCATATAGAGTTGTTCTGGTTCTGACTGAATAATTTATTCTAACTTAAACTTAAAGATTTACAAAATTTTAATGATTTTAAATATATTTTAAAATAGGGTCGTGCCGATCCACAAATTTTTCACCTATCCGACCCTATACATATTTTTATTTTCATAAGTTAATAAATATTCTCATTTAAAATATTTGCAAAGTTTATGGGGTGAATGTAGTGTTGTTAAACAACTCCATTTAAGTCGATTTTCAAAAAGGGCCAAATCAAAATTTTAACCAAAATATTATTGCCTATACCTCGAAATTTCGCCAATAGAAGTCCAAACAATAAGCATGGGTAATTTATTCATGGCTAAAATTTTGAGTTAATCGTTTTTAAAATTTGCTAAATAAAAGCCGTTCAGCAACACTAACTGAATGCGACTCGTTATATGTTTTAAAATTCTTTTCTTTTTACAGATAATATAACACAAAATAAGTGTAAAATTAAAACTATTTTTTTAAACATTACAACAAATAAATTGGATATAATATTAGTTTCTTTTATTAATTTATTATGAAAATATTTATAAAATAAGAAAATCATGATTATATATTTCGTATGGGGTTTCAGAATCCGTGGGGATCCGGAATCTCTTAATTTTAAATCTTTACTAAGGGCGATTTTTGGATTTTAAAAGTCTGATTTTACAGGAATTGTATCCCAACATGTGTAGCTGTAGAGTATTTACCCTATAAATTTCAACCAATTTCAGCGATAGACATTTTTGTATTTTTTAATTTATATGAAAAATCCATATAAAAATTAATGTAAATTAGAAGTAGTTCTAAAGTTCATGGCAATATTGTTTGAAATTTACAGTTTGGGTGCTCTACCCATGCTAGAATACATTTCCGGTTAAATCGGACTTTAAAACTTTTTAAATCGCTCGGTAAAGGATTTAAAATCAAGAGATTCCGAATCCCAATACGACATATATACAATTATAAAATAACCGAACAACAAAAAAATATCGGATTCGGATCGGTTTTTTAAAAAAGCTCGACCCGATCCTTCTTGAAAACGCTAGATATCGGCATAGTCCAAATTTAAAATATACTAATTTTTTAATTAATAGTACCCAGTCTATACAATTATGATAATGTGCTATTCTACCATGATTTGCCCAAATTTTAGACTAAACTGGCCATATATTAATTCATTTGGATCTGATGATGAGCATGAATGATGAAACCGAATAATCTCATACCAAACAAAGATGCATTAGCTAAAATCCCCAAAATGACTTCTTCAGATAATCTATTTTTTGAAATAAATATAACTAACCTAATGGAAAATCTCTTAGATGTCTTTTTTTAAATCAAAAAGTACTCAAAAGAACATTTTTGATGATTATTTTTTAAAAATAATTATTTATAAAATTAAATACTCCATTATGCTCAAGTGCTAGTGTTGAATTATTTGGTAAGGCAAAACTTATACTTAGTGATTGTCATTATTAGAATTTAACAAAATAATATACCATAAATAGTTATTTTTTATTACATTTTAGTCCTTTTATATAAATTCTTTTATAATCATTAACTAACTATATTCAAATATTTATAAATGCTGATTTTTATATATATACAAATTACATTATAACCAAAAAATAAAAAATTTATTTGTATTTTTTTATATAAAGTAGCCTAAAAAGTAACCAAAGCTACTTTTGAAAAATAGTAGCTAATAGTGTGCTACTCTGTTTTGTGGGTAGCAGTGGTACAGTACTTTTTTGGGCAAATAGTGATAGCAAAAGCATCTTAATTTTAAAAGTAGGGTTTAACAACTCTGATAAGCAGGTTAGAGATTCTATCAAAATAGAGCAGGTTGACCTGCATGCTAAAAATTGTGCAATTCACATCTCTAATTTAATTTTTGACTTTAAAAAGTTATACCTTTAAATTTAGTATACATTATGGTAAAAAGGATTAAATAATTGATCTTTCTATATGATAATAACTTGTATGCCAAATTTGTCTTCACTATGATGCCTTTTGATTAGAGCCCATTCAGAATTGTTTCCCTTCAATAAGCTTGATGATAGGGCCATTTCTCCACAAGTAATATCAACACCTAAACTTTTACAAACTCTTCTGAAAGGTAAATTACCTAATGTGGTTAGTGGTGCTAGGTATAAATTATTATTCCAATATTCTGCCCTTCTAGGATCATTTAATTCACTGCTCCTTTTTTCAATATTTTCCCTAAACATTTTTCTATCAGAAATTTTAACATTTATATTACCAATCTCATTATTTTCATATTTTTCATGATCTGAATTTATAACTTGTGTAGGCAGAAAATCAGACTCTTTAAGATTTTTCAAAATTTTAAATTCTTTATTAATTTCAGGGGTTTCAATGTTATTTCTCAAAAATAAGGGATTTAAGGTGATCCATGGATATTTAACATTCATTTCATTGATTAATTCTTCGGCATTCTTGTACTTTTGATTAGAATCTGTTGATTTATTGCATAAAATATTGGTTACCACCTCACTCAATGAAAAATTGTATTTTCTTTTTCTTAAGCATTCTAATACTGATTTCTCAACTCTATTTAATGGGTGAAAAAGATTTTCATTATTTTCCCATACTTCTTTGTCTAAAATGTTTTCCCATGTATTATTTGGATTCAACTTTGTATGACTTGATGCAAAACGACATGTAAAACTATTTATACAATTACCAAAAGTTTCAAATGCTGTACATTTATCACCAATATCCATGGGTTTGCTATTCATAAAAAGGTCTATGTTGTGTTCAAAATGACAATTAGTTACCAAGTCAATTATATCTAAATTTTTGCCATATGGACAAAGTTTATTCTTAGCAATATAAGGACATAGTTTTAAGGAACATTTTTGTTTTTTAAAAACTGGTCTATGCTTATTTTGACCTCTTCTTTTCATATGTTTATTTTCTTTTTTATCCTCCCCTGTTCCATTTTCATCTCTTCCATCTATAATTTTGTTAATTTGAATATTTTCATCACCATTTTTATCATTATACTTTTCATCTCTTCCATCTATAATTTTGTTAATTTGTATATTTTCATCCCCATTTTTATCATTATACTTTGTTTCATCTTCCATGGGATATATAAATCTATAAATTTAATTTATAAATATAAAGGATACAAATATTTTCAACAAATATAAAATATAAGTTTACGCTTAATATTAATATTAAATTAAAATATAATAATACTCTTGTCTAATATTGAGAATATTTTCAGCTTGAGCATGTTTCTGCATAATGAGTGTATGGTAAATTAGACTGAACTGAAATATAAAAATCGAAAAAGTATTTTAAAAAATAAAAGAATAAAAGTATCTGAATCTTTTGTTCTGAAGGTTCAAACAACTAATTGCAAATTATTTATATCCATAAAATATAGTGCGTGGCATCTTTTAAAATAAATGTTTTTAATAAGTAAAAAAAAGAGATGGGCCGGTCTGTTCTCGGGCCAGCTCGAGCTAAATATTGAGCCAGACGACTTGTAAAAAGTATTTTTTTGAGTTAGTTTAGACCAGATATGTAATGGGCTACATCAAAATTTTTTATATACCTTAAAAGGCAAATTTATGTATTATTTATAAAAAAAAATATTTATTACGATTCGAGAAATATAAAAAATTAATCTATGGGCTGTAAAAAATATGATAAAAAGCTCTTAACTTTTATGGAATAATTTGACAGGATGTGTTGATCTTTCTAAGGTATACACTTTTGATTAATGTCCAAATTAGTGCTAACGTTAGAACCCCCAAGCTTTAACACCTAGGCGTATTATAAAATTATGCTAGCTTAATATGCAACTTATCTCCCAACTTTGACACTAACCAAAAGGCTAGCAGCTCATTTTTAAAATTGTATACACATAACAACTCAACGCCAAATAGAAGGTTATGTATTTCCACAAATGGAAAAGGATATAAGAGGCTTTTTCTGGAAATTTTCTTTTATATCTTTCATTCCATTCCCTCATTTAACTTAAGGAGTAGCGTGTGTATACTTCATTTGATTCTAAACCCTAATAGCTAAGCTCTTTTCTTAAACGACAACAAATCCATTATGTTTTGATTTTTAGAATCGATCCCATAGTAGTAGTTTGGGTTCAGTTCTGTTTGGTCTAAACTGTAGTCCAAAGCGATATAACCGGAGCCAAGAACTTCAAAAAATTTAAAGATTAAAAAAATAAAATAACAAATAACAAAAGAGAATCGCCAAAATATAAAAAATTTTTATAGTAAATTTAATAAATAACTAGTAATTAAATAAATATGCTATTAAAAAAAATAAAATTATAGAATTATTCAGATTTTTTTTAAATTTATACAAAAATGATGAAAAATAGTGATTTTCCTCTTTTGATATTAATGAGCCTCTTTTTTTTGAAACTTTACCTTTTTTGATGAGACCTTTCCTTTTTCGATCAGGTCTTCCTCTATTTATCAGGATTTTCCTTTTTCTATTGGGACTATTCCTTTTTTAATTAGGGACATTTCTTCCTTTTTATTGAGAAACCCTTATTTCATTATATTTTATAATAGGTAAAATATATGCGTTAATTATTTATAATTTTATTAGTTTGTGTGTTGGCTTGAGGTAACATTATTTTTCCACATTTTGATATGATTTATTTGATTTTATATATTTTTTCTATTTTATTTTCTTTATTCAATAATTCTGTTCCTACAATATAATTTATTATGTACAAATGCTGCAATTAATGATATTTATAAATATAACATAATTTATGGGAATATGTTTCTGAAATAAATATAATATTTATAATGTTTGTATTATAGCAGATAAAATATAATAACTGGAAAATTTTCGACACGATGATATTATTTACATAATTAATATAATTTTCATGTAAGTAAAAAAAATCGATGTTAACAATATATTATAAAATACGACTTAAAAAAAGCATATATCAAAATATCTATATTTAAATACTATTATCGAATATTTTTTATAATTTATATTTAAAAACATTTTTTAGATATACCTATATTTTCATTTATTTTCAAATACTTTATTTCGAAAAGCATTCGTATTTATATATCGAATACATTTTTTTGAAAACCAACACTGCCCTAATTTTAATAATTGTATTTGATAATTTAAATACTAAAATATACAAAACTCGGAATATTATTTTTAAAAAAATTAAATTTTTTTTTATTTTAAGGTTATTTTTAACTCAAATTATTTTAATACCTTTCTTACTTGAAAATATAATTTTTGCTAGACCATATTTTAAAATAATATCTCAAAATAAAGAAAACAAATCCCTGTTAGTAAAATGTTTGCCATGTTAACAAATTTATTTTTAAATGTTAAGAGAAAACATCAAACACTCTTAATCCAAATAAAAAAGCGGAAAGAGAAAAAATCAATTAAAGAAAATATTGGACTAGGCTCATTGTCCATTGATTTTTTTTCCAAGAGACCTCAGACTTTATCCCAAACCACTCTAGATGATTTAATAACTGATTTTATTATAAATAACATTCAGCCATTTTCAGTTGTTGAAAATCCATCATTTATAAAAATGATCAAAACATTGCTCCACAAAAAAATATAATTTGCAGACAGATAGTGGTTGCCAGAATTTCCCAAAGATGGGAGAATGAAAAGAAAGAAATCATTAAAAGTCTAATCCATCGTTAATATGCACAACAGCAGATTGTTGGAGTGCTTATAACATCTAAATTTGTATAATAATTTAATTACAAACAAATTATTTGAGCTGTTTTAAGAAATGTTAATTATTAGTTCATACATAGGAGTCAGTTCACAGCTTATTACTGTGCAACTATTTTCCAGCTCATTATTACATTGAAAAATTTTAAACAAATAAACCTGAAATTTTGTTTAACACTCTTAAATGCCTTACTTAAAGGGATTGAAGATAGGTAAATTAATAATAAATTAATCAATATTTAATTCTAGATTTATTGGGACAATTTTTGAAGATGAAAATATTTTGGCAACTATGTTTCATCCTTTTTTTAAACTAGATTGGACATGGTTGCAAATGGATGAAAATATTTTAATAAAAAAAAACAATTAATACAAGGATTAGTTGAGGAATTATCAAAGTCTTTAAATGAGTGCATATTAACTTGTGAAAAAAAAACCAATAATTTAATATCCGATTTTTTTCAGTATCCCACAGCATGAGATATGATTGTTAATGATTTAAATTCTGATAATCAACAAATTTTAAATAGTTTCTTCAAAAATGAATGCCGAGATTTTAGTATTTTTAAACAATATCCTGATATAAAAATGTTATTCATTGAATATAACACCACAATCCTTTCCAGCGCCCCTGTTGAAAAACTTTTTAGTATTGCTAAAAATGTCTTTACAGATAAACGAGGATGTCTTAATGACCAAAATTTTGAAAATATTTTATTACTGAAATCTAATAATTATTTATAATAATTTATTATATATTATATTATTTTGTTAATGATATATAATAATTATTTATATTGATCATATATTATATTAATATCTAAAAATCATTATTTTAGTTATATTTTGATAAATTTCATATCGAGTCAATAAATCTTTTAGTTCATTTCATGAATTTTCACAATAGAATCATAATTTAGGTTTATTCAAACCTTATCTAAGAGTATAATAAAAAATGTATCTGTACCTAGATACATTTTAAATTGTATTTGTATTAAGATAACTTTTTAGAAGCTGTATCTGTATCTAGATAAATTTTTAGACTATGTATGTATCTGTATCTAGATCCATTTAAAAAGTATCTTAACAACTCTGAAAATATAACAATATACTCATCATTATTTCCATTCTCTAGAAATTTTGTAGATGAGAAATATAGTTGCAAGGATTAGGCACTTGAAAAGTCTTTCGCAGAACACTCAGAATTGGTAAATCTTTAAAAAATAAAATAAAGCAGATTTTTTAAAATTGATTTTATGAGAATGTTCAAGCAGGATTTTTGATCTATTTTACCCAAAATTCTAAATGTTTTCTTTATAAATAATGTAAATTTTAGTTTTTTTGTATAAAAACTCTTACCTGATGAAATCACAAATTTTTTTAAAAATAAATCAGTAATTTTGTTTATTTTCAAAGATTTTCGCTCAGAATCTTGGGCGAAAATGCTCATATGATGATTTTTGTTTAACCCTGCTCTTGAATGATATGTATTAAATAAATTGGATATTAAATCATAAGCGTAAAAAGATAAATAATTATTTATCGAGCGTGTAACATTTATTTTTTCCCATTATGAACATCACATGAAATTTATTTCGTGAATATCGATTTCCTATGATTACGGTTTGGGAAAAAAATTATAGGGTTCGGTTACGGTTTAGTTGCTTAAAATTACAAATGTTCCTATTCGGTTAAGGTTTTAAAAAAATTATAAAGGTTTTGGTAGATTAGCGCTAAAATTTGAAAAAAAAATTACCATTATAAAATTAATTAAAATTCCTTAGGAAAAAGTAGTGTTAGAGTAAATATTATGGTTTCAGTTTATAATTTATAGGTTTGGTTCCATTTAGCCATTTGACATAAAGGTTTGGTTATGGACTTAGGTTCAGAAAACTAAAAAAGGTTCGATTTCTCCGAGTCCCTTATAGTAAAATATGTGAAAATATGACTAGTTTCGTTTTCTTTTAGATAGTAATGAATATACACCATTTGTAAAAGCAAACTCGATCTATTTTTTTAAAATTCTTATCCATATGACTTCCTAGTACACTAGGGCAAGTTTATGGGGTAGTTAGCAACTATCTTTAAAATAATATCCTATTTAATGAATGTCAGACTATATATATATAATTTTAAATCTGAAAAATGTAAATTGCAATCCTGTAGGGGGGGGGGTGGTTTGGATTGATTTTTATTTGTTAAGATAAGTAGTAAATTAACCGCTAGATGGGGTGGGGGATGGTATTCCAGTTAGACTGCAATAGGCTTTATTTAGCTAACAAGCGGATCCACTCGTTGTTCTAAAAAAATTCTTCCAGCCAATGTTTGTAAACTATCTTAATGTTGTCCTTTATTTATTTATTTCAATGTATTTTTAATTATAAACTTATAAAATATCTTATATTATGAAATTAAAAAAAATGATTTTTAATAAATAGAAGTCTGTTCTGCTCATTCTACCTGCTCATTTTACCAGAAAGATATTTAAAATTCACCAGTCCTTTATTTTAAAAATATTTCTTAAGTCACCCATCCCAACATTTAAAATATTTTAGAAAACCCGCCTATTGCAGATCTATAATTCCTTTCCCACCAGCTGATAAAACAATGTTATATTTATTGGAAAAAACTAATTTCATATACATGTGGGACAAGTATAAAAAAATGAGTGTGACTTTTTATTATCTAAAATTAAGTATTATATAACATATTTAAAAAAATTAGTATTTATACAATATAAATTCGCTAAACGATATATGAAATGAAGATAACTTTGTGAATAGGAATTTAATGAGTTAATCATGTTTTTACAAGAAAATATACCAAACAATCTATATTTTAGACATTATACATGAACAACACAATGATGAATCAATGTTTATCAAGAATATGAAAGTTCCTGATTCCAATTTTTTCGAAAATGGGTAAATAGAGTTTCTTGCATAATTCTCTAATATCATGATTTAGAAGCAAAAAAATATAAAAATTGAGACAAAAATTTAGGGATTCTATCAAATTAGCCACGACAAAAGATATTCCGATGGAGTCATCGAATCGCACTATGATGAGAATTCTTTTAAAGGACATGGGAAGCAGTGTTATAATCATCAAAAGTGATGTAACTATCATTGTTAGAGTCAATTGTTTATCAGAACTCTTTGAGTTGTTCCTACGTCGGCCAGCTATCTCGTTCATAGGAGGGTTATTGTGGGTAGTGCTTTTAGCATTTTGTCTCATCATAGTATCTTTTATCTTATTTTTAGCTTTATACACCATGACTATTTGGAAGTTCATGTAAAGAATGGTTATCATTGGGAGAGCTAATAGCGTGAGTTCTTTAATTATTTCATAGTATTTGAAGGAAATGTACTCGTCTATGGCCGGATTACGCTTGAAGGTAAATCTTGTGCTGCAACACGCATAATCGGTGTCCTCAATTAGAAGGCACGTCGAACTATTGACGGTAGATACTTCGACAACTACATTTCTAATGTACACCGGAAAACTCAGGATTATAGATATCAAATAACACAAGAAAATGCTAAGTTTAATCTTCTTAACGTTTAGTTCTGTCCTATACATAAAAGGTCTGCAGAGGGCTAAATATCTGTCTATGGCTAGAAGCAATGTTAGCAAAAAGCTGGTCTTTTTAAAAGTCGAATTGAAGACTATATTGACCTTACCCACATAAATGTTCCAGTAATACTGACACACCATTTCATCCCTTCTCATGTTTAGTATGTAATGAGAAATAGGGTTGAGAGTGTAAGTGATGCACAGAAGAATATTAGATATTGCCATCCATTTAAGAATGAGATATGGTATTTGTACTATCTTTCGACCTCGTCTGCTTATCAAAAGTAAGTTGATGTTACCTATTATTCCTAAAATAATTATCACAATGAATATGGGAATGTTGAGGATAAATGTTGTGGAGTATGATTCTAGTGGTTTTCTCTTTACCGCTTCCATCCGTTCCGTGGTTTCAGAAAAAGACATATTCAAATACTCCATTAATGATATTTTAGGATTTAAAATTTATTATTATAACAAAATATTTGTCGAAATCAATCACATTAATTAGACCTGTATTATAAATATTTTCGTATTCAAGAGATAAGTAAAAAATTCTGCTTCTGTATATATATTATAGCATAATTTTAACCATTAATATCATTTTTAGAAAAATATTTTAAATAATTTATTTACAATCAATCAAATTTTTTCAGTATCTCAAATTAATCCAAAATTTATTTTTTTATTTTATAAATCACTTATCTGGAGGAGAAGTTTATTAATTATTAATGATTTTTTTTTTTTAAATAATGTTTCTAATGATAAATTCTTTGATTTTTAATGATAATGATAATAACTTTTAAAAGATTTTCAAATTATGGCTTATAATAATAATATAAAATATGACTTCTATTTTTAAACAGGTTTTTCCAGTAAGTTTCGATCGACGGTTGTTAACCTTATATCATTTCCAAAATAAATTTATCTAAAAAACGTTAAAACGATAATATTAAATAAAGATGGAATCAGGGAAAGAGAGATCTACAACAGGTCCTGAAATTTTTTATGTTATATGAATTCAGTGAGTAAAACGAATCGTGAGTGAGAATAAAAATTTTAACTTATATGAGTGAGGTTATTTCTATCTTTTTAAATATATTTTTCGCGATTTATATTTATCCAGTTCGTGTTAATTAAGAAATATATATATTTTGGTAAAATAAAAAATATAAATCATGTGATCAAATTTAGGTTTAATGATTCTTTTTCAAAAGTATAATTTTCTTATTTTCCAAAAACAAACTTAAATTTAAATTACAAATAATCATGGCATGTTCATATTTTCGATCTGGATGTTGAAAAATTTTGATATATAGGTTCGGTTAAGATTTTTGGGAGAAAAAGCTATAAAGGTGTAGGTTCGGTTCAAAAATCAAATTTTATAAAGGTTTCGGGTCTGGTAAAATTCAGTTAATATTTATTTTATATAGAGAAGAAAGTACCCATATTAGCTTTATTCCTATGATAAATATAGACAAAACACAGTTTTAAATTATCCCAAAATTTTTATTGTCAAAATTTTTTGTTATGATTGCCACCTGAATTTTTTTAAATATCATCGAATAAATATATCTTTATCCAATTTTGTACTCAGTGGTGATAGAATGTATTTCAATCCTGAAAATAGCATTTCTAACGTAGATTTTAATTGAATTTAACTCAAGTATGTTCATTTTGAATTAATAATTTGTGCGTTCGAAATAGGTGTATTGTATACACTAAACGATTTATTTAAATTTATTGTAATTGCAATATAATTAATAAATAACGGGAAATTATTCATAATTTATGTTAAAGAGATTTTTTAAAAAAATCCTTTTAAATCAATAATTAATTCTGCCAAATTTTTCATCTTTTTTAAAAAAATTATAAATATAAATAATTAATAATATATTTAATAAATTACTTTTCTGATTAAAGATTTATAAGTCTAATTTAAAATTTGTCAAATGTTTCCTAAAAATTAATCGACGATCTTGATAGAGTACTCATTTATTGGAGAAACTTTTATCGTTACCTTGTATTTTGCAAAGTTAATCGATTAGGATAATTAAAAATATTTTTAATTTGGAATATTGCTTTAGTTTATAGCTCATTAACTAATTATTATAATGATGAATTTCCAGACATATATTTATATAATAATATGACTCAAGAGTATTATAATGGAATTGACCTGAAATTATCGTGTATAGAAATTTCAAGTGAAAAATTAATTCCCGTTTTACAACATTTGCTTTTTATCCATTTAATCATTAATCTCGTATTAACGATTAAACATTATAAAAAACCTAAACAATATATTTCAATGAACAATTGGAATTTCTTATCGAAATCATCATTATCCTTATGTAGTTGAAGATAAAGGTTTAAGTCAAGCTATTCCGTTAACCGATTTTTTTTTGAACAAAATTAGTCGATTGCCTTCATCAAGTTTAAATACCAAATGAGATCTAGTTATTTTGTCGGCTAAACCGAACCGAACAGAACTGATTTGGCTGACAGAATGACTAGATTCTATTCGGTTTCTAAACTCGATCTGAACGCACCCGGCTACTTTCTTTTAAAAATCGGTTTATGAAACCTTCCGAACCCGAACCCGAACCCGAATATGTGATCTTCATTAAATTTATAAAGTAGTTCACTTTCGAACAATTTTATAAAAATGATATAAGTATAATATATATATATATATGTGTTGTATTCCAAACCAAAAAAAGTCGATTCTCAACCCGACCCGCTTCGATTTTTTTAAAAATTTGTATGTTGGTAGTAATTTTTCTAATCGGCTTACTTCACGAGATACGGCCACCTTTAGAAACAAAAAAGTCCAAATTACACTCTATTTAATTTTAGATATCTCAAAATGTATAATTAAGCTAAAATCATAATTTAAATTAAATAGCTCCAAAATGGCCCTTTTGTAACCATATAGAATTTATTTTATAATAGACAGCGGAAATAGAAAACAGGAAATAACCATAAAATAAAAATTGCCCCTTTTTATTCTTTCAAATTAAATTTTACAGATAAACACTATATTTTCTAATATTTGTACAAAATCCTAGCCCGCGATGAATACTGGGTCAAGATTTATTGCACTTTAAATATTGGCATGGCTTAAATACTTTATAATTTCCTATTATTCATGTAATATAATATAATTAATTATATAAATATTTTTGCAATTATTTTCTTTCTAAAATAAAATATTAACATTAAGTGTTAAAATATGACACAATGTCTACTAGTGGTCAACATAGGGCCTAATTTTTCTAACCCGGCCCGAAAGATTTATAAAAAAAAATATATCTGGCCCCATTCCAAGCGATTATTTTTTATTTGTCTCGAAAACCGAATTTATTATATAGAATTATTTTATTTTTTTTTCAATATAGTTTTTTTACATTACAATGAACAAAATTAAGTTTATGATCATTCTACAAACAAATAGAAAAAAATATTAGCTACCTATTTCTTGCAAAAATAAAATATATTTATTTTACTTAAAATTTAAGCATAATTAGGTCCAAACTTTTTTAAACATATTAGGCCTGACCCAGAGATCATCAATGTTCACCCACCATTTTTTAATATGTCTAAATTTTAAGTGAAATTTCAAAAAATTACTGTATATATTTTAATATAAATGATATTTATGAACGATCTTACCCATGCTACTTATATTTAAAGTGTAATAACTCTTTGAGATGCTTTTCTGACTAGGATTTTGTACAAATATTAGGAACTATAATGTCTACCTGTAAAAAAAATTTAAAAGAAAAAAAATTAAGTAATTTTAATTTTATAGCCATTTCCGGCTTTCTATTTCCGGTTTTTGGTAATTGACTTATTTTTAAAATTAAAGTTTATCATATTAAAAGGCTATTATGGAGCTATTTAAATTATGTTTTTAGCTTCATTATTTTTTGTGATATTTAATATAAAATTATAGTGTATTTGGAATTATTGCACTTCATAAATTAAGCTAATTTGGGAATCAAAATTTTATATTCTAACATATACTACCATCATACAAATTTTAAAAAAAATCGAAGAGGGTCAGGTTGAATCTCCATTTGATTTGATATGGAATACAACAAATACATATTAAGAGGACCTTGATTCTTTAAACCTATTAACCTGTCTAAATTTAAAAAGTTTTCTATCTATTACATAAATTAATTTTTTGACGAATATTTATATAAAATTTATAATTTTAAATGAAAAACGTTATGTCGTTTTGAATGTTAAATAATATGAATAATTTTAAAACGAATATAATATGTTAAATTTCTTCCAATTTTTCTATATAATTTATTTTAAAACGAAAATTTTAGTCCATCTTTTTTTTCGAATTTTAATCAAACTTCTTGCATATATGCCGATTATCTTATTATTGGTGTTTGATTTTATTTTTAAAGAGAAATAATAGAGGAAAAAATATATATGGAAAAAATGATATTTTTAAAATTCTTTATGATTAATATAAAAAACCCAATAATATGGTATCCAGCAGTAATTCCTAGATACCCCTTCCCAATTCGATATCATTTATAGATATTGACCATAAATATTGACTAAAACGCCCCTCCCCTCCTGAGATCTTAATATAGATTCGTACTCATCTGTTAAATAAGTCCTAAGGATATGAGGGGCCATAACCCGCTGACAAATGTTGATATATTTTTTTAAGATACTATTACCTAATTTTACAGATTTTTGATAGTAGAATATTAATTTTGAAAATTAAAAATGACCCCTTTCAAATTTAAAAGGCTAGGCACATCATGGAAGAAAGGTCCCTGAAACACATAAAAATAATTTTTTATTATTTTTTATAGAAAAAAGTGCATTTGATCCGGCGACAATCAATATTTAGATAGTGTCTAAATCGACTTATAATCGCTGTCATCAGTGAAATTAAATTTGTCCGTTAGATCCTCTGATTCTTTCAATGTATAAGTTAAAAGATAGATTTCACGAGAGGAAAATCACTTAAGGTTGTGATATCTATTTATGTTAATTACTATATACTATAATATCAAGGTTAGTTCTAATTATAAACATATTGACCAATTTTTTTTTTTAAATTGGAAATTGATATAATGTATGATTATTCTATTTGATAAAAATAAAGAAACGCAATTTAAAACATTAATTATTCTTGCTTTCTAGTAAATATTAATAAAAACCTCTAAACACTAAATTTAGATTTAAAATAGAATCTTTGAACAATCTTATTTTGCTGATAGTTCGCGTTTATGACATTTGCGCTTTTTTTAAAAAAAAAATGAACTTTTTAGGAAAAATTGTTAAACTATCACGGAATTTGTTGTATTAGATTTTTTTTTTTTCAAATTAAATTTTTTGTATAGTAAGAAGTTTTTTCATTCGTCATATAAAAAATAAATATAAAACTT